CAGTCAGAGCAGCCCAGGCCTCTCAGTCTCACTCCTAGAGCTGCTTGGAAATCTCTGTCGCCACATTTCTTCTGGTGCCAAAAGGGCTCTGAGGGAAACCTTCCCCCCCGGAGGTTCCATTGAAAGGTTTGGGGGTTTCGTGAGTGTGTGTGTGTGTGTGGGGGAATGATTCTGTTCAATACAAATCCAGGAAGATCTCAGAGAAAAATCTCAACTAAATAATTTTTCCCTCCATTTTCATCTACATTTTCCAAGGGGAAAAAGTCCACTTAAATTCCATTTAAGCCTCAGTGGAAGGTTGCAGCCACTTGTCTCCAGTGTAGGCTTGGGAGATGGGTACAGCATGGGCAGCAGCTCTGAATCCCTCGGCACTGCCACCAGCCCTCAGCCATGCTCTCCTTGCCTGGGGGTGGGAGTGGGGGAGACGTGCTATCCTCCATGGCCATCCATCACCCACAGTTCTTCACAGCTCCTCTTCTGTCTCAGGATCTCATTGTCGTTCAGTTCATGCAGGCTCACATGGGGCACCACAATCCCCATCTCCAACAGGGAAACCGAGGCACGGAGGGGGTGAGTCCAACAGCGAGGTGGCAGCAAGGCTGGGGATGCAACCCAATGGAACAGACCCTCCCTCCCAGCTGCTTCTGCCCACTGGGGATGAAGCCGGAGGCCTGGTGGAGGAGCTACCCCCTGTGGACTGACTCTGATTAGTCCTGTCTGCAGGCTAATCACAGGACTGGTGATTGCCGCCAGGAATCTACATCCCCAGGACCGAAGCCAGCTCCCCAGCACTCTGGCTGTTCCCGATGGCCATCGAATGTCTTGCTTACCAGCCGTAGGCTCCAGCTAGATCTCGGGTCTGCTCCCATCACCATATGTCCAAGCACCTTTCCCGGCTGGGAACAGAGCCCAGCCTCTGTCCTGAGCACTGAGAATGGAGTCCTGGACACCCTCCAGCTGCTGTGGGGAGGTCACTTATGGGCCTGACAGGTCAGGGCTGGCTGGGCACCGGCTCCTGGGAAGGGGATGTTCTTGAGTGAGGCTCTGAGGGTTTCCGTGGTAGAGGCATGCAGCACCTTCCGGAGCCTCTGGGGCTGCATTGGGAAATGCTGGTCCACTCGGGGCAGCTTCTGCAACCTGCTGACCTACCTTCCCCCTCCCCCTGCTCCTGGCTGAGCCTGGGCTACTCAAACAGCTTCCGAGCAGGAGTGCGAGGGTCAGTGGTCACCCACGGATGTGTTGTCACTGTGTTGGAGGCAGGAGGGAGGGCTGGAGGCACAGACCTGCAGTGATTCCCTGCCCTAGTAGGCCAGACCTTGGATGTCATCATAATCGCTGTCCTCGGAGGAGTCGTTCCCAGGCTCACAGCTCCCCAAAGGCTGAAGGAGAGCTGGCCAGGCTAAAACAATGGATCCCATCAACTCCCATCCTTCATCCCTCCCTTCCCACAGCCACCTCCCGTCCCTGCCTCCCTCCATCCATGCAGCCATCTGTCTGCCCCTGCCTCAGCGACTCCCTCCACCCTCCTCTCTCTCGGTGTTGATCTCTGTCCATTTCCTTCCCTAGCCCCCTTTTGCATTCTCGTTCTCTGTCGACTACAAGCTGATCTGAATCACGTTCTCTCACATGAGCACCCAGCATTGGGCTCAGCAGTGTTGGGAACACAGGGCCCTGCCTGCTCCCCACCCAGTAGGTCTGCAGGTCCCTCCCCACACTCCCTCCTCTACTCTCCTCCCCTTCCCTCACCTGGGCTGGAGGACATGTCCGCCGGCTGGGCTTCCTGGTGCGCCGTGCTGTGGTAGTTCTCATACCACTCCCCAGATGAGGTGCTGGAGCTGTCGGCACTGGTGGCCCCTGCTGGAGACAACCCCAGACACGTTCACCCTCTTGATGCAGTGGGTGAGAAGCACTTCCAGGTGCTTGGAAGAGGACTTGGAGCAACTATCCCTATTGGGAATCCAGCAGGAAGGGCCGGAAATTCTCTCCCATCAGCTGTCACAAGCCAGACCAGGCCATCAATCCTGATGTCCGCAGAGAAGTCCCCTCCCTGCACCGCAGGTCAGGGCATTGCAGAGCCTTCCTGGCCCTTCCCTGGCTGGGAATAGAGCCCACAGCCTGCTCCCACCAATGCCCAGAGGAGGAGCCAGAGGCTCTTGTGAGGGAATGTTGACTGGGGCTCCATGAACATGGAGCTCACACTCCTTCCAGAGCTAGGACCAAGCTGATGTCCGCAGAGAAGTCCCCTCCCTGCACCGCAGGTCAGGGCATTGCAGAGCCTTCCTGGCCCTTCCCTGGCTGGGAATAGAGCCCACAGCCTGCTCCCACCAATGCCCAGAGGAGGAGCCAGAGGCTCTTGTGAGGGAATGTTGACTGGGGCTCCATGAACATGGAGCTCACACTCCTTCCAGAGCTAGGACCAAGTAAGGTCGCCAGGTTTAACAAAAAATACCGACCCCCCCCCCCCCCCAA